GGACTTGTATACTCTACATGCATGTGTGGACTTGTATACTCTACATGCATGTGTGGACTTGTATACTCTACATGCATGTGTGGACTTGTATACTCGACATGCATGTGGACTTGTGTACATGCATGTGTGGACTTGTGTACTCTACATGCATGTGGACTTGTATACTCTACATGCATGTGGACTTGTATACTCTACATGCATTGTGTGGACTTGTATACTCTACATGCATGTGTGGACTTGTATACTCTACATGCATGTGTGGACTTGTGTACATGCATGTGTGGACTTGTATACTCTACATGCATGTGGACTTGTATACTCTACATGAATGTGGACTTGTGTACTCTACATGCATGTGGACTTGTATATTCTACATGCATGTGGACTTGTGTACTCTACATGCATGTGGACTTGTGTATTCTACATGCATGTGGACTTGTGTACTCTACATGCATGTGGACTTGTGTATTCTACATGCATGTGGACTTGTGTACTCTGCATGCATGTGGACTTGTGTACTCTACATGCATGTGGACTTGTGTATTCTACATGCATGTGTGAACTTGTATACTCTACAGGCATGTGTGAACTTGTATACTCTACATGCATGTGGACTTGTATACTCTACATGCATGTGGACTTGTATACTCTACATGCATGTGTGAACTTGTATACTCTACATGCATGTGTGCGGTGTGTGTAATCTACATACCCGTGTATGGACTTGTATACCCTACATGCATGTGGACTTGTATACTCTACATGCATGTGTGGACTTGTATACTCTACATGAATGTGGACTTGTGTACTCTACATGCATGTGGACTTGTATACTCTACATGCATGTGTGAACTTGTATACTCTACATGCATGTCGACTTGTGTACTCTACATGTATGTGGACTTGTATACTCTACATGCATGTGTGAACTTGTGTACTCTACATGAATGTGGACTTGTATACTCTACATGCATGTGTGGACTTGTATACTCTACATGCATTTTGTGGACTTGTATACTCTACATGCATGTGTGAACTTGTATACTCTACATGCATTTTGTGGACTTGTATACTCTACATGCATGTGTGCAGTGTGTGTAATCTACATACCCGTGTATGGACTTGTATACCCTACATGCATGTGGACTTGTATACTCTACATGCATACTGTACATGCATGTGTGCGGTGTGTGTAATCTACATACCCATGTATGGACTTGTATACCCTACATGCATGTGGGCTTGTATACTCTACATGCATTGTGTGGACTTGTATACTCTACATGCATGTGTGGACTTGTATACTCTACATGCATGTGGACTTGTTTACATGCATGTGTGGACTTGTATACTCTACATGCATGTGTGGACTTGTATACTCTACATGCATGTGTGAACTTGTATACCCTACATCCATGTGGACTTGTATACTCTACATGCATGTGTGGACTTGTATACTCTACATGCATGTGTGTGGTATGTGTAATCTACATACCCATGTGTGGACTTGTATACTCTACATGCATGTGTGGACTTGTATACTCTACATGCATGTGTGGACTTGTATACTCTACATGTATGTGTGAACTTGTATACTCTACATGCATGTGTGAACTTGAATACTCTACATGAATGTGGACTTGTATACTCTACATGCACTGTGTGGACTTGTATACTCTACATGAATGTGGACTTGTATACTCTACATGCATGTGTGAACGTGTATACTCTACATGCATGTGTGAACTTGTATACTCTACATGAATGTGAACTTGTATACTCTACATGCATGTGGACTTGTATACTCTACATGCATGTGGACTTGTATACTCTACATGAATGTGGACTTGTATACTTTACATGCATTGTGTGGCGTGTGTAATCTACATACATGTGTGTGGACTTGTGTAGTCTGTGTGCATGTATGTGGAATTGTGTGGTCTGTGTGCATATATGTGGAATTGTGTAATCTACATACCTGTGTGTGGACTTGTGTAGTCTGTGCGCATGCATGTGGAATTGTGTAGTCTGTGTACATGTGTGTGGTTTGTATAATCTACATACATGTGTAGTCTACATCTATGTGGACTTGTGTAGTCTGCGTGTATGGATGTGGACTTGTGTCATCTACATACATGTGTGTGGACTTGTGTAGTCTGTGTGCATGCATGTGGACCTCTGTAGTCTGGGTGCATGTGTGTGGCTTGTGTAATCTACATACCTGTGTGTGGACATGTGTAGTCTGCGTGCATGTGTGTGGACCTGTGTGGTGTGTGTGCATGTGTGTGGTTTGTGTAATCTACATACCTGTGTGTGGACTTGTATAATCTACATGCATGTGTGTGGACTTGTGTAGTCTGCGTGCATCTGTGTGGACTTGTGTGGTGTGTGTGCATGTGTGTGGCTGATGTAATCTATATGCATGTGCGTGGACTTGTGTGGTGTGTGTGCATGTGGATGTGTGCAATCTACATGCATGTGGACTTGTGTAGTCTGCATGCATGTGTGTGGACTTGTGTAGTCTGCGTGCATGCGTGTGGACTTGTGTAGTCTGTGCATGTGGACTTGTGTAGTCTGCATGCATGTGTGTGGCTGGTGTAGTCTGTGCATGCGTGTGGACTTGTGTAGTCTGCATGCATGTGTGTGGCTGGTG